CTTATAAATTATCGATTATTTGATAACTCTCTCAATACTTTCATATGCAAAGTAATTAAAGGAATCATATTATAATACAAAAATCATGTAATTTCATTTTAAAAAATGGCAATGACCTTAAAAAAATTTTTTGCTCATCATCCCTTACGGAAAAGAATGATTGGTCAGATATTGTAATCCGTGTAATATAAATACTACAAAAATCACACAAAAGTATTACAGTAACTACATGTAAATATTACAGGCAGTTGTGTGATATTTCCGCATTGTAATCGATGGATTACAAGAAAAGTAGTAAAGGCCATCCACAATGGACAGTAACTGAAGTTATAAGGCTGTAAGACACATCAAAAGTAAATTGATTTTCTGCTATAATAGGACACAGAGTAAATCCGTAAACAATAAGAGAGTACGTAGGAAATGGATTTCACCCATTCACACTTACAGATTTACTTTACGCTCTATTACACTTGCTCTCGACGTGTCTCACAGTCTTATTACCACTGTTTACTGCCATTGTAGACGATCCTTTATGCATGGTCTACAATAACAGTAGTGGATTAACAATAACAGTAGTGGGTTAAGGAAACGTAGAAATCAACCAATCATGGTCGTGAGGCAGATAATCAACTATGATTGATCGATTTCTATGCCTACTTCTTAATCCACTACTAGTACTGCCCATTGCAGATTACGCATTACAGAACAAACATTCATAGGCTATAAACTATTATAGGCAAAATACTATACAGGCAGGTGTTGTGTAACTGTATGTATACATTATTGTGAAAACTAAAAAAAAAATCACATTGTTTCCCCATGTAGTCCCATTTCTAATGTCATTTAACACTTTTGTTATCATCATCCGTGGTTATTCTTCCCAAGCTATATAAATTTTCAGCTAGCGTTGCTTTCTGCGAGTGATTACCCATCCATCTTGCAACCATGCCCAACGTTGCTTAACCTTCAAGATCGTATGGGAGCTAACAGTTCGTGATTATCCCTGAACATTTCTCGTTTATAGAAACATAATTATGATAGATGTTGGCAGTTAGAATACACTTTTTTCATAAAGTTATAATTCTTCTACATTCATTTTTACGTATATTCAGCATTATGTATAAGTTACAATTTAAGGGTGATATTTCATTTGTTTTTGACGTACGACAAATTTTTCAAGCCTATTGATTGGCTATATAGAGAGATCCGAGGACCTCTCTGTTCTGTACATATTTGTCATACGAAAAAAACGCACAAATGAAATAGCACCCTAAAGATTAATGTATTCATGAATGTGTGTAATCTTCCTGTTATAGTAATTTGCCTACTGCAGTTTTTGCATTATAATAATTACACGCGTGTAATTCACTTTGTAATATTATTATCGGCGTAATTTCTCTCTCTCTCTCCTTTTATTACAAAAATTTACTGTACTTAACTAACTACACACATGTGATTCGTTGTGTATAGTAATTTCGCACGGGATTATAGTAATCATACGGATTACAATATCTGGTTAGTCTTTCTTTTCCGCAAGGAATATTTGACTTTTTAAAGCAAACAACTTTTTCCTTTTATGTTTTGTCGTATTATTAAGAATATCAGAGATATTTTAAATGTCGAGGTAGAGAAAGTGTATATCCCCCCTTTCTCTCTCTCTCTCTCTCTCTCTCTCTCTATGCGTGCGTGCGTGCGTGTGTGTGTGTGTGTGTGTGTGTGTAACGCGCGCGTGCAAGGTATTTCATTTTAATTGACACACTAATATATTTCGAGAATGAGATGTGGAATTGAAAAACAAAAGTTACGTAATATTGAGGGGGCATAAGATGGCTAAACTATCTTGAATATTATTTAGGACCATGATTTTAATAATATTTATTAAGATAAAGGTCATTTATTAAGATAGAGGTTATTCTTCTTATTTTCATTTTTAATGTAAAAATAAAAATAAGAGTAACAACATCTGATTGTATAATGATTGAGATAATGACTTTAAACAATATTTGAAACATTTTAGTCATCGGATGAATACTTTGAGTAATGCTAATATCGACGATACTATAACCTCTAAGCTTTATAATTAGAGATTTTACAAAAAAATATTTTATGTTTTGAGAAGCTGACGAGATAAGCTATGAGAATATGTAATGAAAAATGAAGGGTCTTATTTAAAAAATTCTTGCTCTAATTGACAATGCCACCCAAAGTTAAACTAATGGCTGCGTTTAGCGGACTCAACAGTTGAGTGAGCGCTCGCTGTTGTTGATGTATTCTTTTAGATCTAAAATGCTCGAATGGTCTAAAAGAATATACCAATAACAGCAAGCGCTTCAACTGTTGAGTCCGCTAAACGCAATCAATGATATATCTTATGTTCCCTTCCACGGAGATTCTTCCTCTACCACAATACTTGCTAACAAAAGTGACAGTTCTCGTAATTCTATGTATGATACTTAGCCGTGTAAAATTTCGAGATAAACAAAGAATGTTTATATCTCAAAAACGAAGAATTTCCAAACTTACATTTACACGACTTTTTTTACATCTTTAGAGAAAGTAAAATACAATCACCAAAATTTATCCCCCTATTTCGAAAACTCTCTCTCTCTCTCTCTCTCTCTCTCTCTCTCTCTCTCTCTCTCTCTCCCTCTCTTTCCTCTCTCTCTCTCTCTCTCCCTTCCGTTCCTCTCCCTCTCTCTGTATAGACAATTATTTCAAGTAAGATATATCTATAATTGAAACTCCTGAGTAGTTATCACAGCGTATAAGAGACTGTGATGTAAGAAATGGTACATTAAAATTTCTTGCTTGCTATTTATAAATAAAGAGATTTGGATAAAACAAAATAACGAAATCACTTTAAAATACTTATAAAAATGAATCTATCCTTCCTCCCTAATCGTTAACAAATAATCGTAAAATGTGAAGTGAAAATCTAGTGCTGTCGTATGCACATACGACAAGTAACGTTGGTAAATGCACTTTACATGCCTTTAACAACTATTTACTGACCTAGAGGGGAGGGAAGTAAGGATAACTTTGACACATTTTTGTATGTTTTAGAGCAGCCACATTATATTCTATTTTACTCAAATTCTCTTTATTTACAAATGCAAGAAACATTAACGTGTCATTTCTCGCTTATGATCCAATATAACTGCTGTAATTATTTAGGAGCCTAAGACTTCCGATGACAATTAGTGACCATGGCATGTATAACAATATACAGGGTGAGTAGAGTCCCTCTAGTAAGAATCAAGTCATGAGGGACATCGATCTCCTGGTCAGATTTCGAATCCCTTTAAACGTTGCCATTTGCGGATACTTTCGATGTGATAGTGAATCTGTGAATTAGTGTGAGCAATTGTTTCATGATGTGGAAGATGCGAACGCGAAATCGGACTATCAACTGTCAATCATGGTAAAATTGTGCTGTTCCCGACCAATGGCGTCTTTTCGCTCTTATGTCTTAACTCTTATTAGAAGAACTCTAAGGGTAGGGCATTTTAATCGTTCCAGGTGGATATCTTAGAAACTAAGAGAAATATTAGGAAAGTTTTATATAAAAGTTGTAGGTTTTCTTGGAGGAAAGAAGGTGGAAATAACAAATTTTGTATATGATGCAAGGTCTAATCAAGGTCAACATAAATTTTTTAAATAGATTATTTTTTACTGCTTATTCTTGTAGCTGAAAACAAGGCGTTTTCAAAATACTATAATAAATTATTTTTTCATTAAAATTTTTTCATTTTTCGAGTTATAAAATTTGATAGTTATTATACTGCTGACATTAGCATTATCCAAAGTGTACCACGTAGAGGTTTGTTAATCGGATTTAATCTGTATGTGCGTATGTGCATACGTATGTACGTGCATGTGTGGAAAGAAAGAAAGAAGAGTCAATTTACACGTATTCTGTTCTTGTTTCTATTCATTCTCTAAACAGATTATGTTTGATGATCAATCAGCTCCAAGTCGACTGATATGCATTATTTTCCCGTACTTAGCATTATCCAGGATAAACCACGTACATGTAACGGGGATTTCAATCCTTTGGGATGCTTGATTTATGTGAGTCCCTTTGCCTCTCAATAAAATATCCCAAACAGTCGATCGAAAAGTAACTTTTTCCCTCCCCCACACATAAGTAATCTCCACATGATACACCTTGGATAATGCTAATGTTAGCAGTAATTGTCAAGTTTAATAACTCGAAAAGTGCTTAATGAAAAAATACTTTATTATAATAGTGTTTTGAAAACATTTCGACTTCAACTACAAAAATATGCAATAAAAAATAGTGGCTTCTATTTAAAAAATTCATATTGATTTTGACTTGACCTTGAAGATGCTCCATATACAAAATCAATTAATTCTACCTTCTTTGTCATAAAAAAACAACTTTTATATAAAACTTTTTTCTGTATCTCTCTTAGTTTCTGAGATATCCACCTGGGGCGATTAAAATGCCCCACCCTGTATAGTTTGTTTTGTGTAAGTCCTCTTTTCGTCTGGTCATTACTCTCATATAGCATGAATGAAACACACATTGAACGTAGTGCACTTATTTATACATTTTACATTGCTTTCATCTGCTTGTACTGTGTTATTTGTTAGAATTTTACACTATGACAAATGTAAAATTCAAAGAAACAGAATTGAGATAATTCATTTCAAAGAACTAGTCCTTATTCCGACAATTTTAAAAAACTGTAATATTTTCTATATGACCTTAGTTAAGAAACAAATATGTCTGTACAATTGGCACGCTTTGTCTGTTAGTAAGGAGTATCTGAGAATATAAAAAAGTTGGTGGTTACTTAACTGCCTATAAATGTAATGTAAATAAATGCATTTATTTAACTTACTTAAGTCGTAATATACTCCTTACAAACAAAGACCTTTGGCCAGAGTAATAAGTTTTTGGATAAGGCTTTTCAATATACATTCTAAGACTTTTTTCTAAAAAAAGAAACAATTTTATCTTTATTTCATCATTATCTTTTTCTCTTCCTTCTCTTGCCTTTTTGTTTTCTTGTCAACATTTACACACATACAGAACACATCTGTATACACATTTCAAACTATCCTCTAATGCTGATCTCTGTTGCTGCATGAATAGTCTTGACACTTTAAAAAGTTCACTAGTTATGTGTATATACATTCATTTAAATATCTTACTTTACAGATTAACAACGAGCCATTTAAGATGTGAGGCCATTGAGTAATTGTAGTTCATCTCTTGTAGAACTTTTATTTAACTGTAGAATAGTTTTGTTGAGAATTTTGATTTGAAGACACCCACGTATTGAATACATCTCTGAAACACAATAAAACATATAAATAATAAAATTGAAAACAAGACCGTTTATGTTAAATACATTACTTTAAATACGAAGCGCCACTACGGTCTGAATGTTAAGATGTTGAACTATTATATATATTCATTTAAATGAATTAATTTCAGAAATGATAATTGCGTGCTGATATGATCGTCGGACTTTCAACGTAATTAATCCGAAATATTAATAATCCCTCCAAATTTCCCAAATTTAATCTTAAAAAACTGTAATAAACTTATTGCGAAAAATATTGCTTCGGCCGGAAGTGGAACCGAGTTTATTACAGTTTTCGGCATTTATTACAGATCGACACGGAATTACGAAGGCAAGTCAATAAGTTTTTAGAAAAACATAATAAAACACATTTTTTTAATCGATTCATTTTTATTTCTAAACATAGTCTCCTTTCAACTCGATATACTTGATCCTCCAACTTTTTCAAGCCATCCGAATAATATGATTTGTCCAATCCTTCAAAATAAGTCTCTGTTTCAGCGGAGCTGCTCTCTGTTGGTGAATCTCTTTCCTTCGAACCATTTCTTCAGATTTGGAAACAGGAAATAATCGGAGGGGGCTAAATCTGGCGAATATGCTGGATGGGGAAGCAATTCGTAGCGGAATTCGTTGAATTTGGCTATCGGTACCGGGTACGTGTGAACTCGTGCATTGTCTTGATGGAAGAGCACTTTCTTCTTCATCAAATGAGGACTTCTTTTATTTAAAATGTTGTTGAAACGGTCCAATAAGATTGCGTAGTAATCGCCATTGATCGTTTGCTTCGACAGAAGGTAATCGATATATGAATTATACCGCGTGCATCTCAAAAAACTTTGGCCATCACCTTTCCGGCCGACTTCACGGTCTTCGCCTTCTTCGGAACTGGTTCACTCAATGAAGTTCATTGTTCTGACTGTTCCTTTATCTCGGGTGTGAAGTAATGGATCCATATTTCATCCACAGTAATGAATCGACGCAGAAATTCATCTGAATGACGTTAAAACATCTCCAAACATTGTTTTGAAATCGTCACACGGTCGCGCTTATGGTCTACAGTGAGCAAACGCGGCACCCATCTTGCCGATATATTTTTCATATCCAATTGTTCGTGCAAAATTGAAATCACTGTGCCATGTGATATCCCTATTGCCTCAACCTATTGCTCGCGCACTTTCACTCGTCGATCAGTCAAAACAATATCGTGGACTTTATCGATGATTTCTGGCGTAGCAACCTCAATTGGACGTCCCGAACGAAGTGGCTGTACGACCACGTTTAAATTCATTCACCCAATTGTATACAGTCACAAACGCTGGTGCAGATGTGCTGTGAACATTATCTAACTCGGTTTTGATTTCTTTCGGCGTTAAACCTTTCATATGTAGATGTTTGATCATTGCACAAAATTCATTTTTTTCCATTTTGCAAAAAATACAAAGTTGTTCGCTTTAGTCGTCTACAGAAATGAAACCACACGATGAATTCCGTTCAAAATTTGATAGTAATCAGTTGAAAGATGCTATTTATCAAAAAGTAATGTGACATGACACTCCGAGTGCCCTCTGACAGATTTTCTAAAAATTTATTGACTTGCCCTCGTATCATTTCTGAAATTAATTCATTTAAATATATATAATAGTTCACATCTTAATATTCAGACTGTAGTGGCGATTCGTATTTAAAGTAAAACATATAAATAGAATAAAGAGAAATTATAGAGGTGTACAAGAATAATCTGGAATTAAAAATATATGGCAATGTACACTGTGAGTATGTTATAATTAGAGACATATGATAAAATGCAACAAACACCGATTGTTTATTTAATAATATTATAGTATTTATTTACATAAAATGTATGAATTAATCTAACAAGGGAAGTTTCGTAACTGTCCAATTTGATTCTCCATGAAATATGTTGTAAAACACGAAAATCTAAGAGACATATTTTTTTTTTATACGCGTTAATTCATGTTTAAGGAATAATACACCCTTTTGAAAAAAAAAAAAACGGTATTTTTCTTTCGACATGAATATCGTCGAAAGTATAAAAGATAGAAAAAAAATTTTTTAACAAAAGTTGTTAAACGGTTTCAAGAGTTCTTTAAAGTTACAAAGAAAAAAATTTTTTAATTTTTTTTGTTTAACAAAATACCATCAATTTTCTTAAATTTTCAATTTTTTTTATCAAATTAAAGATTATTTTTTTATGAATTCAACTATGTGCAATAAAGTTACATTATGATTATATCATTTCCGAGAATTAAATAATTAATAACGCTTCCGTATATATGTTACCCATGCTATGCGTAAGTAATTGTCGTCGGAACAACAAAATATATAAATCAACGAGTAAGGAAATTGACATGATTGATATTTGTAACATTATAAATTAAAAATAATGTTAAGAGATATAATAATTTTTATTATTTCTCCTTAAAGTGAATAAAATTTTTTTTATTCATCTCTGTATATTATTTCCTTATAATATTTTAAGATTATTCTCTTTAATTATTTTCAATTTTACGCTTTAATATCTTATTTACTTATCATTTACGTAATAATTTCTAAACGTACTTAATAATGAAATAATTTCTAAATGTTTACGCAATAAATTTATATTTTGTATTGTTTACTCATTACAATGATACTCGATGAATGTTTTAAACATAATTCTTGCATCATGAACATTTTACTATAGCTATATTACTGTAACCTTCGATACATATGTGTTGAATTTTTATCAAAATTAAATTCTATTGAATTTTCAAATTCTTCTGGTCTTTCGTTTGTATAATAAATTTTTAAACCATGAATGTTTAAATAAGTTGTAATGTCGGAAATGACAATTGATTACGTAGAGATTGTAATTTTATATCATTTCATTCATGTAAATTTATATTACTTTCCAATAATAAGACAATATCTGAAAATCTATCAGCAAAATTTTTCCAAATCCGTAAACATCTAATAGTTGTAGTTTTCCTGTAGTGTCTTTTGGTATAATCATAATATGTTTTCCTGCAGGTGTTAAATCTGAAAACATATTGGGACAATATCCAGTCCATAAATTGATAAGAAGAACGTTATTAGAACTAATGTTTGAAAAATAAGCTTCTAAACACATTTTAAAATGATCTGATAAGACAATGATAAGAAATATAAATGTTAAATTAATAACTATTTTATGACTGTTATGAAATTCTTAAATAAAATATAAAATATATCACAGAAATAAGACTTATAATTTCATTAATTATTTCGTTTATGCAAATTTATATTTACTTTTTAATAGTAAAACAGTATCTGAAAATGTATTGTAAAAGGAAGTTCATTTAATTACCTGAGATCATTTTATGCCGGCCAGATTTCGATGTTTTTAAAATAATTGGTAAATAAGATTTCTTATACTCTTGGTCCAAATATACCATTAGTTTCTTTTAATACAATAAATAAAAGTGATAGCAAATTTTCATTACACGATATTATCGGTTGTATGGTGTATGAGTGTGTTGATGATATAGATTGCACAACACTCTCTACTTTCTTTATTCCTTAATTAGACAATGACCTTCCAGAATGAATTTCCAATTGGAAACCGCTTTGATCAGAATTAAAAACATTTTTTTCAGATCCGAACTATTCGATAAGTGGTTTTACTGTTTTTAGAACATATTTTCCAACAATTTAATGCAATTTTGATTATAAGATAAGTATAGTGTGTCGATACAATTTATTAATTCGTTCAATAATATTTTTGAGCAAATTAATCAATTTAAAAAAATATATAACATTTTTAAATGCGATAGTAGTTTTTCAATTCATTTTTCAAAGAGAGAGAGAGAGAGAGAGAGAGAGAGAGAGAGAGAGAGATTTAATTTTATACAATAATTTTATTGTAAAAGAAAGAATAAAATTGTCTTTAATTTTTCTTCATGGAAGAAATTAAATGTCAAAGAATTAATTACAGGTTATGTATATGTATTTAAAAAAATCATTACAGTTTTGAAAATCTGAATACATACTATTGAGCGAATTAATAAATTTTATAGTCATAAAGCATATAGAAAACTATACAAATTTTATTTGAAACATTTTTTCATATATCTTATTGTTCCGACGACAATTACTTACGCATACGAGCATGGATAGTACATACATATATGAAAGCGTTAATAATATTAATTCTCGAAAATAATATGTTGTAATGTAACTTTATTAAACATGATTGAATTCGTAAAAAAATAATCTTTAATTTGGTTAAAAAAATTGAAATTTAAGAAAATTATGAGTGGTAGAAGTATTTTGTTAAACAAAAAAATTAAAAAAAAATTTTTTTAAATAACTTTTTTATAACTCTTCAAAAAAAATCGTACAACTTTTGTTTAAAAAAATTTTTTCTGTCTTTTATATTTCCAATTCCATATTCACCTCGAAAAAAAAAATACGTTTTGCTTCAAAGAAGTGTTTCACCCCTTAATAAAGGTTATTATGAGTTAGCGCATGTATAAAACAATACGTGTCTCTTAAATTTTCGTGTTTTATAACATATTTCATGGAGAATCAAATTAGTTCCGGACAAACTTCCCTTGTAAGACAGAGAAATTTAATATAATATTCTTGCCTGCAATGGCTGACCACACATTCATTGCTGCAGTATTCATCTTCCCATTCGTTATTAGATATAGCAGGATTAGGGCATCCTTGATGTATACACGGTGAAGGTCTTTGTCCTGTCATAGTCACTTGTGAAGGATTTACTGGCGATGAAGAACTAGATAAAGTTTCAGACTTCATCGATAAATCCTCAGATTTTATAAATTCTGCTCTAGGTGGACTCGTATGTATTATTTGTTGCTGCTGTTGTTGCTGCACTTGCACTTGCTGTACTTGTTGTTGAGGCACCTATAAATAATGTTAAAAATGCTATATAGCGTTTGCAAAAAATATATTGCATCGTTTGACTAATACGTTTTATTTTATAATTAAGTAACAATTGATACAAAACATTTCATAACTTAAAGAGGTATAACAATTAAAGAAAATATCTTGTTATATTTCTCTTTTTTCTTTTTTCTTCTCTTTTTATGCAAAGAGTAACGCATTTAGTCCATTTTGTGCTCCTTAAATTTTAAGTCAAACTTGTATGCTAAATGATGGTATATGCTGGGATATTAATCTCTTAAAAAAATTTAAGTTGTATACAATAGAGGTTTTGGAGATACAAGGAACTCAAAATGATTAAATTCCTAATATTTTTAATATTGTTCAAGTATTACAAGACACAAAAAGAAAGTTTATCCTTCGTAGATACATATATTTTTACTTATTTCTCGAAGTACTCTGTATCTTTTTTGTGCAGCCTAAAGTTTACTGTTATAGGTTTACTGCATAGTTTACTGTTATACTTTAAAAGAATCTAGAAAAATTCAAGATTATTTATCAATATTTCTACTACATATATTTTTAATTTATTTAATTGAAATGTTAAAATCTTTATTTAATAAAAATTGAAACTTGTGTCAAGAAATTTGAAAGAATGCCAAGAAATTTTGAATAAAAAGACTCATTGTGTGGTTGTAATATTAATTTTATTTTAGTGTCTACAGTGCTTGAACAACATTGAAAATATTAGAAATTTGATTATTTTATTTGAGTCCTCATATCTCCAAAACTAACCATATACTCAATCAAACTTTTTTCTGAGATTAATGTCCCATCATATAACAATGTTTGGTATACAATATGATTCGAAATTCAAAGGCCACAAACACACAAGTTAAAAGACATGTATTTTGAGGTCACTCTTTATTCTATCTATTCTTATAATATTATGCAAATATACCGAATTTATTATATATTACTCAACAAAATGAAAGGATTGGCTGTTCTATCTTAAATATGGACAAATTTCAACATAAAATAACTCGTAAAAAATCATCGTATCGAGATGTTTAAAAAAGAATTTTATAGCTTGAAACCTCTACTTAAAAAAATCGATCCTACTGATATTTTGTAAAGTTATATAAATATAAATAAAGACATATTAGATCTCACATTTTGCGAAATTTATGAAATTCCACGACGCAAATTAAAAATTGTACACAAATGTGGTTTACATTCGATAGAGATAGATGAATCTTTACCTTTAATTTGTTTTTTAGCAATAAAGTGAAGTATTGTATGATTTTTTTCCCGTTTTTTATTCAACATTGAAATAAAAACGATCCTTTTTACTTCGATGTTGAATAACTCGACGAAAAAAAAATCATAGAGGTCAATAAAAAAGCAAATTAAAAATAAAAATTCACTCTTTCGAAAGCTGTAAATCGCATTTGTGCGCAATTTTTAATTCGCGCTGTAAAATTTTGCAAATTTCGTAAAAAATTTTGAAATTTGATGTATTTTCATTTATGTTTGTGTAACTCTGTAAAAGGCCATTTTCTAAAGGATCGATCTGAACAATAAAGATTTCAAGTTATGTTGACAAAATGGCATATTCGACGCCTTAAAAATAGTTCTCTGGAATGTCAATGAACTCACACAACACCTTCATGAATTGAAGGCGTTCATAATGACACAAAAAATCGAAATAATGTTATTATAATATCAGAAACTCACTTCACTAAAAATTGCTTCCATATCACTATACATTCTAGAAACTATACAAACAATGCATCTTGACGAAACACATAGTGGAACTGCAATAATTATTATCAGATCTGACATTAATCATTATGAGAGGAATCCATATAGACAAAATCACATTTAAGCGACTTTTATAGTAATTGAGGACCGGATAGACCAAATCACATTGGCTGCAATTTGTTGTCCATTGAAGTATGCGTTAACAGAAAACTTTGTAAATATAAATTAATGACAGGCGATTAAGAGCAAAATTAGACGCAGTTAGAACGTTATAGTTAACAAATGTATTTCATAGGTCTTATATATAATTAGACAAAATCGGACGTTTCGGCTCCATCGGACATTTCGAGCCATCAGCGATGTCCAAATAATACATAAACATTATTTGCAATGATTAGACTCTCCAAGAGAGAGCAGCTCAGAGTCTCTTCAACATTTGAGAAGCATCATTGTTAATTTGTATAGCTAGGTGAGCACTAAAGATTGACGTAGTGAATTAGAATTAATAAATAGTGATAAAAATATATAAAACTAATCAAAGGACTCACCAACTGCAAACTATGAAACATATATCAAGTATTATATAATAGAAAAATAGATAAAGAAGAATCGTTAAGAGGACTAAATCACACAAAATACGTTGAAATGATAGTTACAAAATAAAAAATAATAAGTGTGAAGCATTGTAAAATAGAGAGATTGTTCTTAGAGTCAGTAAAAGTTAAAATTGTATATAGATAGTCAACTTTCAAATTTTATTTGTTAATTTTTTTTAATGAAGCAATAATTAAAATCTGTAGGAGGTCACTCAGGGTCGTGACTTTGACATTATGTCAAAGTTATTGAAATCGGTAAAATCGTCCATTTTCTAAAATTTTACTAAAATTTTTTTTGGTACTTGCTAATCATCCCTTAAAAAACTCATATCTAGCCACGAAGATTGGAATTCCTTAACTTTGCGTTTCTTAATTACTCCTTTTCAATGCTCTGACGTGCATTTTTTCCTACACTGACTACACTGTTGTGTTCACTGATCATCGACGCGCCAAAAATCCGTCCCGTCTAACAACACTGCTGTAGAGACCCTCTGATCACCTAAAGTAGCCGCTACTTTTCATCGAAATTGTACGAGAGAAAAATCGTGCTCACTTCATCTCATTCTCATTCTATAGTGACACTGTAAGTTGCGTTCTATAGAGACGCTCTATAAGCTTCAGAATTTTTAATAAATGAACATTTTGACACGTTTAGGTGACGATTAAAATTTAAAAAACGTAAAAATTTAGTGTCTAATCATAAAATTACGATAGCAAGTTCATGGCTATGCATCATACATTTCAGTAAAAGTATAATGTATCTCTATTATGCATTTAATAAGGAAGGACCTCCCTGAAATTTTAAAAAGTCGAAATTTTTTTATTGCTTTAATCATTAGTTTGAACTCTTAAGAATACGAGAAAAAAGATCCGGAAGCGAAATTCAAAGTCAAAGTGGTCGAGAAAGTGATTTTCCTGAAGCGCCTCCCGAAGTGATTCCTCTTTTGCAATCTGGGCTTTGTAGATATACAGACTATATACCCATCAAAATATAAGCCCTGGATGCTATCTATAGATATCACAACTTATACTAAATCCAGTTTCAGCAATTTCAGTGTCGATTTCAGTGTAAGAGTGACACCATTAGTAAACATTAAGAAAGCGCATGCTCCACTTCAAATGCGTTTTTCTCAAAACTGCATTTTTCGAAACGGTATATGATAACTCAAAAAGTTCTTATCCAATTAACTTCAAATTTTAACTGAATATTCTTAGCAACATTCTCTATTGTCTGACGTAAGATTTTTGCAAAATATTTTGTAATTTTTTTTGAATCGACAATTGAAGATAATTGCAACTTTTTGTCAAATCATTGCCATTTCAAGAAAAATCAATATTTAAAAAAATCTCTACGTCGATGATAATCATAACAGTAAATAATGCCACTTTTTTTTAGTTTGTATAGGTTGCATCGTTTTGCTGAAATAGTGTATACCGCTTGAGCTCGTCTCACGAAAATTCCCATAATTGGATCAGAAAACTGTCATTTTGTCGTTCAAGCGAGATGAAAAAATTATTTTCTACACTAGAAAATATGTATAATGAAACCCACAAATTGATTTTTCAATTAAGTTATTCATTTTTTTCCCAAAAATTCACAATTAGAACTGATTTTTGGATGCTATGGATGAGATCCCTTAAATAGGATGGATGAAAATCAGACCAATCACAAATCGGGGAGAAGATGGCCAGACTCTGATTAGAGGGTCTCTATTAAGAGTCGCAATAAACGAATGCCATCTATCGTCGAAAATATGAAAAAGAGATTTTTTTTAAGGCGGTGACGTATTTTACATAAAAATTTGACATTTCGCATCACGACATCTTCGTTCGTAGGACATATAGAGGTAAAATAAACACTTGTGATATAATTCCAAGCTGTCACTTGGGCTCAGAAGTCGATCAGTCCAGCCTTTATTGAAAAAACAATAATCTTGGATGCTCGCAATTCACTGACTCAAAAAAGACACGGAGCGGTCTCACGCTGGGCGTCCACTTGGTGCGAAACACTACCGTGATAACTTTATCCTTATTAATAAAGTAGATCATAAGTTTCCAAATAAATCTTTCTGGGATATGGTAAACCGCTTGAAAAATTGTCCTTTTAATAAACCTAATTTACATTTTATTCCTCGGTCGAGGAAATGGTCGAATATATGATAGATAGGCTAGCCTCTCAGGAATATCTAAATTGAATGATCCAATTAATATAGCCTCCATTAATAGTTTCTTTCTGAGATTAATAGTTTCCAGTTGGAGGAATTGAATATGATAATTAAATATGATAATTAAATCCTTAAAAATAAAAAGATCTGCGTCAGATTTACTTAAATAACTTTCTATTAACTATTCTTCCTGCAATAGCGGTGGAGATTCTTTTAATCTCATTCAATCAGATGATGAGCTGTGGAATGTTGCCAGATCAATGGAAAGAATTTGATACCATCCTAATTGTTAAATCAAAAAAGATCTATCTCTTGGCATCATGCGTGTCGAAATGAATTTGATGAAGAGATTAATAATTTCTTGATAGACTTGAGCGCTTTGTTGAGCTGGAAGGCTTACTCTCTGATTCTCAGTTCAGTTTTCACAAAGGTCACTCTTGCGATCACTGCTCACAATATCGAAGCATATAAAGCGTTCATGAAGGGTCATCTTTTG